TGTCACAAAGTCCTCGTGCGGTTGTCTCTTGCGATGCTCCTTGTCCAAATGGCCAATTGTCTGGCCCTCTGGATCACATAATATAAAATAGGCGTTGTATGCTTTGTGTTCACTGTAAGCTAGTACTTACATTCCATCTTTGGTGTGATCAAGTAACAGCGATGAATGATGGAGTATGTGCTCGAGCTGATTCCCCATGGTGCACTAATGGAACCTCCACTAAATAAATTACTTCATATATTAATCCCTTTTCTTGCGCTTCAAGTAACGGAGGTAGTCGACTGTCAGCAAAATTAAAAAACTCACATTCAAGCAGTATTGAAAATCCGAGAAGCACTGCCCGCTCCTCAAGAGTAGTACAGCCGGATTGATTATTACCGGAATAGGTGCCCAGATTTCCAAACTCGAGTGTGTATCGAGCTGTCAGCACAAATACTTACAAGCTTTTTCAGGGTTACACATCGTTTTAAACAACGATTCACCTTGAGCACAAATGGACGAAATTCCATAGCGTATGATTCGGATACCTGGACGCTGATTGGGGTTTTCAAATTCAAAGACAGTGTCATAGTGGAATGGCTTTTTTGGTGCAGCAACAGCACCTATTGGGACCATCACATCTCGCTTTTCTGGATTAGCCATGGATATTTCATAGCGGCGCGTAATAAAACCATCTTTATTGCGCGATTGGCCAAGAATTTGAAATGCTTCGTTGCTTCCGGGCATTGGTTCGTATACTTCCATCTTGGAAGACGCAAATATTTCTGCTTCCTTGATAACTAGTGCGCGTCGTCCAGTATTGTCATACACGCAAAGGGTTGTGTCGCGGTGGACACCTGCCAATCGTTTCCCAAAACTCAGTTCTCCTTCTTCAATCCGCCCAACTTTTATACCGTCTGGGGTAAAGATGTCAAACGCTAGTGTATTTGTCCGATACCATTTGCTGATTAGATCACACTCACTCATTGGAGCTGTCCTTAATAAGATTTATCGCAGAGTAGCCAAGCACATTGCCCAACCCAGACTCGATATAGGAAGGGGGTTGAACAGGTTGTGTGGTGACTTTCTCAACTTTTGACATTGGTGGTGTATAACAGATGTGATTGAGTTGTGGAGTGAAACAGGTATCTAAATTAATTTATATTGACCAATTATGCCAAGATTACTCGATTTGCATGAGCTGTGTCGATATAATGATAGAAGTCGACTTGTAAGCAGCAACATACAATCAATAAGGACCGCCATACCGAGAAATACTGCTCGTTGCTGCAGTGCTTCTTTCCTTTGTTGATTTTCACCATGCAGAGGTCCAAAGTCTAACGCAATGGTGCCTGTCAGCTTGCACTTACTAGAGTAGGAATAGTTGTCGTGCCAAATACTGGTCAGCGGAAACTTGCCCTTTCGATACGCGACGGATACACACACTGTTCATAGAAGTATCTGAAAAAGACCACTTTCTGAACGGTGATGATAGGAGTCCAAACTGTTCCATCGTACTTCCCTTCGACAGAAACACGCCATAACGTCGCTTTAGAATAGTGCGCTGTTCCTTGACCAAGCCGACCAGCGAAATCTCATTGTCATCTCTGGGGTATGCGTACACATATACCTTGGAGCTGCCAAAATTTTTCACTTCTTGGCGCACAATCTTGAGTAGACGCTTTCGATTATTGTCATAAGCATGCAACACAAAAGATCTACTGGCACCATGCAGAGCACGACCAGTTAATGTTGTTTTGTCTTCTTCAACGCGACCAATGTGTTCACCTTCGAGCGACACAATATCATAGTGACATTCATTGAAGAATCCTTTTTTTCTATTAGCACAAAACTCACTGTCCTGTCCTGTCCCTAACTAATTTAAGCCCATTATGGTGCAACAAACGCTCCAGGTAGTGCTCGCTTTCGTCACACACAGCGTTAATATCAGCAGCTTGCATGGCCATAGAACCGTAATTCGAGGTGCACGTGACGAAAGTTGGTGCGCGCTCCTGTCCCTCCCGCCTCTCCAACGGCTTTGACATGTCGGTACGTTCAGCTTATTTGTACGCTAACCACAGTCCGGCTACGGTATCAACGGTGGTATGTGAACTCTATTTTTCAAAATACTAACTAGGCCCTTCGCGCTGCTTCGAGTTCTGGCAGGACTTCCGCAAGTGCTACCTCAACGCAGAGTCGCCCGCCGAGTGCAAGCTCGCCAAGGACGACTACTTTGAATGCCTTCACCATACCAAGGAGGTGAGTCTTGAAACTAACAAGCTCGACCGCGCCCTCACTATCAAGGAGCGCACGATTGAGCGCCAGCATGAAGAGTCGAAGCGTGCGCGCGAGGCTGCCAAGAAGGGCGGTCTCGGCGCCGTGGGACTCGGCTTTATCGAGCCTCAAGCTGAGGCCAAGGCATAGAGTAGCATGTTGTAGCAAGTCTACATATCATCTTTGCTACTGACTACCATGCAGTCTGCCACGGCCAGTGTGCCGTGGCATTTGAATGCGCAAATTATAGCACTAGCACTGTTTCTCGGGGCATCCTATGTGCTGGTTCAGTACCTGGCCACTCGCAGAGTCGCGCTAGATGATGCGATTCGGCTCAATCATGAGTCAGGTCACGACGTGCGTTTGGTGAAGACACGCACAAAAAGGATATGCACAACAGCGAAATGTGCCGATGAGAACGTCCGAACTGTGCGAATATACTGGCCTACAATACAGTTCACGCCCGGTGTCCTCTATGGCTGGTGCTTTATTGCTGACCCACAAGAGCTGGTAATCATTGTGGCTGGCCAGCAGCTTGGCAAGAACCTTGTCGGCATCCCAGACCTCACAGTGGTTGGCGCTATTGGCGACCGCGGCCGCGTCTCGTCGGATACCCTAGCACACCTCGACGTGGATGCTGCAAGCCCGCTACAAATCAATCAAGTGGCCGTGTCGGAAAGTGTTTCGCTGCTAGACCATCATATTTCTGTCATTTTCTATCGCCAGCCCGATGCAGAGCTGCTCGAGTGCTACGCACTGCCCAAATTGACACATGACTGGACACGATTAGAGCAGTTGGCTGCACTGGAGCCTGCAGTTTGTTGCCAACTAGCCGAATCTAAGGCCGGGAGTGGTCTTCGTCGGGTTATTCCCCTTTTGAATTGTGCCAAGTATACATGCCGAGACGCTTCTGCTACTCCAAAATCTGCTGTACGCAAGCTATTGGCCATGTTTGGCGCTAGTATCGCGCTTATTGCTTCCAAGGTGCCACGCGTATTGCTGCACTCACATACTCTCAGTCTATTCTCAAGTCGGGCAATGCGTTTAGGCTCGTGGCAAAAGTATGACGAAGCGCTAGGCACCGTCTACAAATGGACTCGCCAGAACGGAGCACCACCAGATATCTGTGCAGTCCAGGTGCTTGGAGACAGTAGTTGGGATGCTGTTGGCGTATGGGTCATTGATCTGGTTGCTGGCAATTTGATCGCCCAATACTTGGAAAAGCACATTGACGGCACTAGCCGCATATTTTTAGCCGCGTCATCATTCATTGATGCGGATGCGTTTCACGCAGTATTTCACTGGCTTGCAAACTGGCCACTTGGTCTCAAGCTCAACACTGAGCTCGCTTTGTTTCTGAGCGATACACTTGGAAGCGTCGCTAATGCACTGTCTGCCGCACCCGCCCCATCTGTCAAAGTGGTGCATGTACTTGCAATGCTGTGCCGTGTGTTTGGAGCATGTGTCTGCTTTTCAATCGCTACTGATGCACTTTTAATTGGCACTCTCCACGTGCGAATCATGTACGCACTGGTACGCAATGTATATCACTTTTTGACACTTGCTGCAACCAGTCTCTTTGATGTTTTCCGCGGCAAGAAACGCAACCCGCTGCATAGGGGGCGAGTCGACAAGGCACACTACGAGGTCGACCAGCTGTTCCTGGGCACCTTGCTGTTCACACTGCTTGCTTTTCTCTTTCCGACGGTGCTAATGTACTATGGCGCATGTGCATTGGCACAGCTTGGGGTGTTGGGGGTGGTGGCGGCGCTCAAAACACTAACATTATTGGTTGACAGGCTGCCAATCAGCAAACTGGTACACATTCACAATCCTCTCCGCGAGCCAGCAGGGCTTCAGTGGATGCCGTGTATTGCCGGAGCAAGACACATGCAAAGTCGTCCGTTGGCGATATCCAGTGTTCTTGGCACATACACGGAGTGCTTTGCTCCAGTACTGGCCCTGCCACAGCTCCTTTGGGCAGTTTTACGTGGGCAGCCACTAGTCCTTAGTTAGCACGAGCAACTCGACGACTTGGCATCGTTCTGGTTCGACGACACGTTAATAGTCTGGTTCTGCGCATCAGCAGGCTGCTCGTCCACACCAGGAAGGGCAAGAGCAATGTTCTTAAAGAGACCCTTAACATTGTCGCCAGACTTGGCCGAAGTCTCAAAGAACAGGACGTTTTCGTACTGCTTGGCGCTTTCCTCGCCCTCCTCAGTAGTCACCTCGCGCTTGTCGCTCAGATCGGTCTTGTTGCCCACGAGCGCAATGATGACCTCGTTGCCACGCTCGGCGCGGACGTCTTCGACCCATTTGGACGTGTGCTGGAAAGACTCGCGACTGGTGACATCGTACACAATGACAGCAACAGACGAGTCACGGATGTAAGAAGGGATCAGCGAACGGAAACGCTCCTGACCAGCAGTGTCCCAGAGCTGCAGACGGACCGTCCGGTCATCCAGATACATTGTCTTGGACAAAAAGTCAATGCCAATCGTAGCCTGGTAGTTGCTGTCAAACGTGTCATACATAAAACGGGTAATGAGAGATGTCTTGCCGACAGACTGCTCGCCGAGGAACACAAGCTTGAACTTGCGCAGGGTGTGGCCCACATCTCCCGCAACGGGAGCACTAATCGCTGCCATGTGGGTAAAGGCAGCAGATGCAACGTGTTGCTTGATCACACGTGACATATTTGGATGTGCATATCGTAAGCGGAAACACGAAAACCGTCCCTGATGCATCAGGGCGTGGTCTAGTGGTCATGACTCCTCATTTACAAACGTTCTGAGGCGATCCCCGGTTCGAACCCGGGCGTCCTGACTTTTTTTCGTGCTTCCAGCAACGTTTCCATTTTCTTTTGTTCTCGATCCAAGCATGAAAAGCACACAGTCTCAAAGGTAAGAAGGGTCATTATTAAAAGACTATAGGATAATTACGCACCGGCCTTCCAGTGCGCAATGTCACCATCAACCATCTCGTAAGTCTTGCCCTTCTGTGCAATATTGCCGTTCGCACGGCAGGCATTCTCGCTGCCAGCCTCCTGGAGGTCCTTGAACGACATGATTTCACCACAGACGAACTTGTTCTCAAAGTCCGAGTGGATCACACCAGCAGCCTGAGGGGCCTTGGTGCCACGGCGAATCGACCATGCACGGACCTCATCAGGGCCGCAGGTAAAGTAGCGGATAAGATCGAGACTGTCGTAACCACTCTTGGTGATCTTGCCAAGAGCGCTGGAGACATTGTCACCAAACTGCTTGAGCGTCTCTGCAGTGTTCTCCTCACCGGCAGCCAGGACCTCCTCCTCGAGCGCAGCCGAGAAGGGAATGAGCTGGTCTCCAGGGTTGTTCTGGTCAATCCACTCCTTGATCTTGGGGAGCCACTTGTTCTTCCTGCGAGCATAGTCCTTGGGACTGAGGTTCACGAGGTAGATGACCGGCTTGGCGGTAAGAAGAAGAAGCGAGTTAATCACGTCAATCTGTCGTTAGTACTTTCTGCGGGCGCGTATCAGAAAATGGTTCATCTCATATCCAGCCCTTCCTAAAGCTGGTCGACGAGCTGGGTTTGAGTGTGCAATGCACGCTTTCATCATATACGCCCGCAATGTACGCACCTCCTTGGCGTTCCAGTCGCCCTTGCGGACGTCACGGTTCTCCTCGACGAGAACATGGTAGATCTTCTCAATGATAGCGACCTCCTCCTTCTTCTTGCGGTCCTCCAGCGAGTTGTTGCCGGCACTGCGCGCATTCTTGCGTGCGTTATCAAGTGCCTTCTCCACCCACTCGATGTCCTTGAGACGGAGCTCAGTAGAGATGATATCCATGTCACGAGTAGGGTTCACATCACCCTCAACGTGGATAATCTCATCGTCGTCAAAGGCACGGACGACCTGGAAGATACCATCCACAGCACGCACGTTCGACAAGAAAGCGTTACCGAGACCAGCACCAGTGCTGGCACCAGCAGTGAGACCGGCAATATCAATGCATGTCAGGAACGCAGGCACCTGCGACTTGGGCTTGTACAGGTCGCAGAGCCAGAGGAAACGGTCGTCAGGGACAGGCACACGGGCCTCCTCAGGCTCGATGGTGGCGTATGGAAAGTTCGCAGCCTTACCAAGGTCGCACTTGGCAATCACGTTGAACAGCGTCGACTTGCCGACGTTAGGCAGACCGACGATACCCATCTTGAGGTTGTTCGAGGGACGTCCCAGACGGGGCTTTTCAGCAGCGGGGGCTTTCTTAGGCGCCATCTTGTTTGAACTTGTGCGTTTCTTAGATACAACAGAAGTAGCGTGTAGCAATCGGAAGACGCCACAGGGCTCGAATCTGTGTGTTCGAAGAAGTCCAAGCATCTCCTGCGCACCCAGACTGGCGCTTCGTAGCACAAAAATCAATCACGTGTATTCCTCTGCATAATCCTGCAGGGGCTGCATGCATTATCCACATTGGCACGCGAAAGAGTAGACGCGTCTCCCGTCACTGTTCCGCACTGCCGCTGCACATACGATGAAGGTGCCCTTCGTGACCATATTCCTTGCTGCCCTCGCCCTCTTGTCTGTCTGCGTATCGGCAGTTCCTTTTGAGGATAGTGAGTGCTATTTGTGCTGACCAGCTGTCAATGCCTTCTTTGGAAAGCGCCAGGCTGTTGGTCTTGGCGGTGGCGGTGGTGTCGCGACCACCTCGTCCATCTGCTCGACATGTATCCAGAGTATCAAGGGATACACTGCCCCCACTACCTCTGAGACTCGGACACCGACCAACATCTCCAGCGGCTCGATCATCAGCATGAAAGATATCCCCGGATACTCCAAGGCCATGGACCTCACACACAACGTCAACGCTGCATCGAGCTTCAGCACGCAGTACTTTGTGCCCCTCACCACTGTGTTCGCAGTCATCATTGCTGCTGGCGCTTTCGCACTCTAATTAATGGATATTACGACTAGAACATACTACAGCAAACCCTCGTCACCAACCGATGATAGATTGAGATCTCGCCATAGCGCTCCTTTTTGTTTGTTAAGCGCACTTTCGCATGTGGTGGGCTTGGGTGCTGCAAGAGTCGCAAGTTGGCGGCTGCCTTTCTTTGCGGTGCTTTTGAAAAAGGACGTAAGCGTGACTGGCTCGTCCATCCAACGCACAGAGTAGCCCAGCGTCTTGGACGGACGCTGCGTGCCAAATCGTGTGCGCGCATCTTGGTTCTTGGGTGCAGGCTCTTCGAACAGCGACTTGGCTGTTGCCCAGCTGAAGCGCACAATCCCGGCCCATCCGAAAACTGGGTCCAGCGTCTCGTGGAGGTACCGCACCGTGCGCGGGTCTCCAGGGTAGCCGCTGCCAGTGGCCAGCTCGCCGTCCTCGTCAGTGAGCTTGTCGTCCACCTGTTCAATATACTTCCACCCCTCAATACAGGCATCGCGCGTGACTTTGGCAGCGATACTCGCTGCACCGACAATGGGGTATATCGCGTCTGCCTTTCGCGTAACTGTCCACTTGATGTGGCCATGCTTGGGAAAGTAGGACTGAAGCAGGCGCGAATACGTGCCTGGATCGCCCACCGTATCGACGTATATCTCTGTAACATCCACACCCGCATCTAGCACCCCTTGGATCAGAGATACAGTCGCATCAGAACTCTGGGCGTTCAGATTATGCGGGCGTTTTCGCAGCATGCCTGCAGAAATGTCCTGTGGCGACATGACTCGAACTGCCCAGCCCATCTGAGCGTGGTTTTCGATTAGCGCCGCAAGCAGGATGTTGCGCTTCTCCGCGGTTAGCGCTTTGGAGTCGGCAAATCCAATGCTTTTCAGCACATCCATCGAATCACGGGGACAATACGCAACGCCATACACGAGCGGTCCAAGCACAGGACCACGTCCCGCTTCGTCAACACCCAGGACACATGGCACTCTGCCGGATCCTGTCTTGCACTCGGACACGCACGCTTCTGGCACGGCCGAGTGCCATGTATATGACGATGTCAGTGGCTCGTCTCGCACAGACGGCACTTGGGCCATGGCGACACGTGATAATAAAATTATTCCGCCATGGAGCAGCAGCTGGCAGAGGTCAGCGGCAGTCTCGCGCGTGCAACAGAGGCTGCTGCGCAGCTGCCTGGGCGCACAGACCTCGCTTTCTTTTGCTCCATTGATCCAGAGCTCGAGAAGAAGCTGGGCGATGTGGATACGTCGATTGGTGAGATGCTCCGCCTCATGCATACGTGGGCCACCAACGGAGAAGATGCCACTGACGACAACGACACCGACAACGAGGGGAACGCTCGCGAATTTGCACGTCGAATTGCCGCTCCTAGTTCTTTCTCGCGTGTAGGAGACATTGTGGACCAGCTGCTCGAGCGCGCAGATACATACCTTGACGAGTACTCTGGTCGAGTGCCGCTCAAGACGACAGAGAGCTACACAACGACTGCACTCGGTCTTCCTCGCGCTGCAAGGCTCCCACCCCATCTGGAGAATGCAAGCATCGATCCGCCACAGCGACACTTTACCACAAAGCCCGACAACCGCAGTGGTGTGCCATGGTCGCGGCCATTGCGTCTTGGCAAGCCAAATGCGATCGTGCCCCTTGGGTGGAAGGACCCCTCGTGGGATACTAGTGGACTGGTCACCGGTGTGTACGGCACAGAAGGTAATCCTCGTCTCAACCCATACCACGTGGAAATTCAGCGCACAAAGATGCCCGAGTCGGCGCTGAATGTCAACAAGGGCGAGCAGCCTGTGCCGCTGACGATGGAAAATGCGCTTGGAACCGCTGGCGTGCCATTCAAGTGGGTAAAGACAGCTGCTGAGATTGATGCGCTGCTTGCGCACCTCCGCGAAGACCGTGTGACCGAGATTGCAATCGATCTCGAACACAACAGCAAGCGCTCGTACCTTGGTATCGTATGTCTCATGCAGCTCAGCACACGCTGGGGCGATTGGATTATCGACACACTGTCCGACGAGGTGCGCGAGCATGCCGAAGTGCTCAACGAGGTGTTCACGTCGCCAAACAAGGTCCTTGTTCTCCACGGCGCCGACCATGATATTCTGTGGCTCCAGCGGGATCTGGGTCTCTATGTCACGGCCCTATTTGATACGCATCATGCGACCAATGTGCTCAATATGCCCGTGCACTCTCTCGCATACCTGCTGCAGCGCTACGTCTCTGTGGAGGCTGACAAGCAGTACCAGCTCGCAGACTGGCGAATCCGCCCTCTGCCCCTTGAGATGCTCTTTTATGCACGCAGCGATACACACTCGCTCCTATACATATACGACTGTCTGCGCACAGAGCTTCTCGCACACGGTGGTCCTCACTCAATCACCGAGGTGTTTGAACGCTCCAAGGCCACAGCCACAAAAGTGTTTGCCAAGGTCGACTGGGACGAAAATGGTGAGGGCCGCTCCGGCTGGCGCTCACTCTGGCTCAATCGCGGTGGCGAGCGTGCCCGTGCGTCGAGCGATGAGAACCGGCTCGAGTTGATGAGCAAGGAGGAGCGTCTCGTACGCGCCCTCCACCGCTGGCGCGACTCGACGGCCCGTGTTCAAGACGAAGGGACGCACCATGTGCTGTCCGACAAGAGTCTTGTGTTCCTCGCTTTCCGTGCGCCTGAAACTGCGGCGGAGACGCTCCGTGTGCTTCCGAAGAGCAATGTCATTGCACGCAGCCATGCCGAGGAGATCACCGCGGTGATTGCAAACGAGACGCAGGCCTGGATTGCAGACTCCAAGAAACGCGGCGAGGCTGCACAGGCACAGCTTGAGTCCATCCAGACGGACGGCTGCGCTGACCTTGGCGAGGCTGTCGCTAAACACGATA